GGTTTTGATATTTTATAAATTAAATATTTTATCTAGTTTAACCTTGTGTTCTGCCACAACTGTGTTCGCTTATTAAAGGTTGTATGCAGATTGGATGAGTGTTAACTTCAATAGTATCACTAGTTTTCCCTAGACATCGAGATCGAGCCCTAGTGTGTTGTTGAATTAGTGTTCATCCATTTAGGCTTTAAGTCATTTGCATATTACCCCGAAAAAAGAATCCGGGGACGTTCACCATCTATCTGGCTGATAGATAGGTAAACGTTACACGGACTTTTAACATTTCCGGTGACATGACACCCAGCACATGACAAGACTGTATGACATGACACCAAAGACATGACAAGACTGTATGACATGACAAGACTGTATGACATGACACCCAACACATGACAAGACTGTATGACATGACACCAAACACATGACAAGACTGTATGACATGACAAGACTGTATGACATGACACCCAACACATGACAAGACTGTATGACATGACACCAAACACATGACAAGACTGTATGACATGACACCAAACACATGACAAGACTGTATGACATGACACCAAACACATGACAAGACTGTATGACATGACACCAAACACATGACAAGACTTTATGACATATCGTCATAGTGTTTATAAGATTAGGTTGACATTAAAAAACATTAGGATGTGAGGTTTTTATACTCAAAATTAGGATGTAAGGTTTTCATAATCAACGTTTTAATGTGGGGTTTTCATAATCAGCATTATAATGGGGTGGGGTTTCATAATCAACATTAAGATGTGGGATTGCCATAATCAATGAAGGCTTCAATAAATTATGCCTCTTCTTTATACGTTTGAACCACAATTATGTCGTCTGATAAAAGTGTTTCAAAGTTTTATACAATTTAATTTTCCAGAAGAATATCAAATTACATATAATTCTTTTACTAAAAATTTCAAGCTATTACCATAAAAAAAACGACCAGTCTAGACTATTTAATTTATGTAAACACTAGACAAGTTTTGCCGCACGTGAAAATAAAAAAGATGAAAAGTCAATTGCTATTACTAAACGAAAGTAAATTGAGACAGATTGCCCCGGGGGGGGGGGGGTGGGAAACATTATTTCATGGTGAATGACGTTGCTGATTTTTGTGCACCAGTGACTCTCAAAATGTGGGTCCTAGCGTCACAGACCGTAAAAAAATTGTTTATAATTCTCAACTTTTTAGTAAATGTTTAGGTTATTTAACGCGGACTTGGTTGTGTAAAAAGGATGAAAGCGGTGGAAATTGGAGGTACCAAGCACTAGACAGATCACCGCAGAGTGTTAGAAAACTAGACGGTCCTAAAAAACGGATGAAGTAGAGTTAATGGTCGAGAAGGAAAGACGTCTGGAGTGACTTGACCCGAACTCCGTGTCAAGGTTGACCTCATCACGAGCCTGGAGAGTTTGACTTTGCTGGCAGACGAGGGGGGGGGGGGTCGGCGTGGTCGAGTCGGTAAAGCTCGAGTTCGAACTGAAAAGTCTCGAGTTCGAACCGTCGGACAGATGAGGCTCGTTGGCTGGGGACAGCCACTCCTCTAAGAGAGACAACTCCAAAATCAAACAACTGCTGCCTTGTAGTTTGTTCTTGGTTGGACAAAGGCTATGGAAGCAAATCCAAAAAGAAAAGCAGGCTGAAATCGGAGTCAATGGCCTCAATGGCGATAAATCAGTTGACACGTATACCTAATTGTGTACGAGGGGATCCCTTGCAACACTAAAAAATTAAGAACGAAGAAGAAGAAGAAGAAGAAGAAGACGAGGAAATGTTCTAGAATTCACCTACCATTTTTCTTGATCTAATCAGAGAATGTTCTAGAACTCTCTACCAACCATTTGTTGTGTTCTTGTGTTAATTCTGTTGCCTAACACCAGAGAACAATTTAATTGGTCTGTCCGCTGACAGGTCGAATACATTAACCCCCCCCCCCCAACCCCCCACGGATGTCTGAGGCAGACTTTGACCTTGTCTTGTAAGACATGACACTGGTGATGACTTCCGCGTTCTCGGCTTCTTTTTTTTCTTGATGCTCGCTGCGCATGCGTACTTGACTTGTTGACGCACATTTTTTTTTGGGGGGGGGGGGGGGGGGGGCGCCTGATTCTAAAGTAAAACTGGTTCAATTTGGGAAACGAGATCTAGGGATAAGGTCTGAAGTTTTGACGTGCTATTCTTGATGTTTTTTTTTTTACATCAGGTTTAGAGAAAAATTGAGGATTACTTCTTGGAAACATTAGAATAAACTTACTCCATCTTTAAGCTAATGAAAGTGTTTATCAGTGTATGTCACCTATTAAATCCAACTATTTTAACTTCAGACATTTTGCAGGAGTTAGAATCAAGAAAAACCAATGAGGTGTTACATAGCACTGCGTTATACTGAACCGCTCCTCCAATAAAACGATATGATGAATTAACCATCTGTTAGTGAGAAATTGTTTTACGATCCTTGATTCTGTTGGTTTCTAAATTGGATCATAAAAAATAACATTGGTATTGGTATAACGGTATAGCAATATATATATATAAATTATTCATAGTTGTAGTAATAATAGTTAAATTACTCATAGAGTCAAGACGGCATAATGATAGAGTTCCTATGTAACTGTGACGCCGGCGTATAAAGTGATTGTGTGGCCCATACGCTTTTACTTTAACCAACTCGCGTCAGGTACCCATCACACCAGAGTAGCCTACATTAGAACTCAAGTAATACCAGTAGTGTGATTATGTAATCAAATTATGTAATGTAATTACGGCTTTTATAGGTACAAATCGTACATTAACTACCAAAAATAGAAACATAACACGTTCTAGGATGTGTATGTTTAACAACTATATGTTTTGATGAGTGGATTTTTGTTTCATAAAGTTTCATCAATAATTAAATTAATAGATTGTATTCAAAACTGTATAACTTGGATATACTTAAGTTTCTCGGGCAGATAACGGTACAAAGAGAAATGTTCCACCTCTCTCATCAACAATTATAATATCTTACACACACAAGTCCATTTTTTATGTAGCTGTTGTTATCCCTTTTGGCTATGTACCAACAAAAAAAAATTAACTTACTCAAATGTCGAACTGCTGAATCACAGCCAACAAAACGGCGTAAGTACACGGGAAATAAACAAGCGTCCAGGATAAAGTATCTGCCCTTGTCGTGATAATGAGCAGGATTATTTACCTCCCCTTTTTGCACTTGTGCGAACATGTATAAAACTTGCCAGATTTTTTTCTAAAAATTCATGGCGTAAAATCTTTTCTGCTTCATAATTTTTAGCGCAATTTCCATTCTGGAGAATTGCGTTTATTAACCCGTCATTTCTGGATGGATGAATGGATGGATGGATGGATGAATGTATGAATGAATGTGTGTCCGCAGCTTTAAGTCGTATCTCCTCCTCAACGAAGCAATATCGAGGACTAGTTCCAAAAGCAAATATGTTAAGCAAGTTACGAGGATGAACATAGGCCATAAAAATTCCGGGTTTCTTTCATGGATTTCCCGGAAAAGTCAAAAAACATCGGAAAAAAGCAGTTTTTGTCCCATATCTCGGCAACCAGACCACTTAGCGACTTGAAACATGTACCAATCGATTCCTGCCATAATTTAGAACAATATTGCCGAAGAAAGTTTTCAAAAATATCCTTTCGTTCGGTCACAAATTTTTTTTTAATTAATTAAAATTTGGACCGAATTAATAGGCATTTTATGCAACCACACCACACGCGTCATCACGTTCAATAGCTGCGCCATCGCGTTCCATGGCTGCGCCATCATGTTCAGTAGGCGCGCAATGGTTTTTAATCATGTAACTCTATTGTAAATAAAACATGTAAAATACTGAAAAAAATTAATAAAAAAACGTTTTAATAACTAACCAATGGTTTTACTAACCCTGCTCTTGATTTACGCTACGACAGAGCTATTTTTAGATAACATAAGGAAATTGCGCTAAAATTGTCACTAGACTTTTTAATTACCTTGTTTTAAAACAAGAGTATAATTGGTAAATCACTTGCAAGTACGTGTATGGCGTCCTAGTCTGCTTAACATACCAGTTCTCAATGGGGTTTTTTTTTTACTAGAGATTATTGACGTAAACTGACACTGACATTTCATTGACACGAACTGACATTGACAATGCATTGACGTGAACTGACCCCGAGAATTTATAGACGCCAATGCCAGAGACAGTTATTTACGAAGAGGGACTCTGGCGATATTTTGGCGTAGAATGACGCTAATATTTAGAGGTTGTGTTGTATACAATTGAGTAAAGCCAGAGTAATGTGATTAGATGTGTGGCGGTGTAGCAGTGGCGTTAACACCGTTGTCATGACGACCATTCACGTCTGGGCTACTATCGTCCCTGCTATCATTGATAAGGTGTTAGGCGGGACGTCAATTGAGTGAATAAAGTGATTAAATGGACGTCATTGGGACTCGGATCAGCTATGGGATAGACGTCAGTTGAGTGGGGCTAGCGGTGTGATGTACATCAGTAGATGGACGTCAATGGAGTAGTGTTCTAAATGGGATGAACGTCCATGGCATGTTATGATTTTATTACACTCTTGCATTTAGGTGTTATAATTTTTGGTCGTGTATAGACACTGCGGACAGTACTAGTTAGGTAAGAGTTCGAATCTTTAAGGTGTAAACAAGGGTAAAGTCTGAATGAGACACAAGACGAAACACAAACTAAATCATGGTGAGTTAATTTGTTTTTTTAAAGCCTGAAACCGTACGAAATCATCAGTCGTCCATACATACATACATATAACATGACTTCCAATTAACACCACATCCAATTAAAACGGAACATTTTTATTAAATGAATTTGTATTTTTTTAAATAAACAACATAGAATTATACAATAGAAAAAAATGCACTTGAAAAATAAATTAATAACTTAATTAATATGTGCACGTGAGTTTATTATGTGTCGCGTTGGCCACTTGGCTTTGATTAGAACAAAATAATTTCCATGTCAGAAAAAAAAATGTCCGCCCTTTTGTACCTCAGGGTCCGTGACTTGGACCATTCTCGAGCCTAAACTCAACTGTTTGTATTGACATAAAAACAAGCAAAGGGCCCGCGTTCACATATCGATTTTATTGATTTTGAATTAACAGTAGAAACGATCAATCATAAGAAAAACGGTCGTTCCATTCGGGTCGTCTGCCAGCTCTGGCGGATTTCCCCCGGCTTCCGGTTTCCCCACGAAGGGGAGGTGACCCCCGACTCCCGGGGTTAACGGTTGTCGACGCTCTAGATTTTCCACTGGCGGGTTTACTCCCCGTGTGTCCAGAGTTATTGGTACTGATGGGAGGTAACTTTGTATCTTTTCTTTGTTTACCTTCCCCTTGACGTGCACCCAATTGTTGTGATTTAGATTTGGGTTGGTGAGCTTTGCTGTTGTTTTCTGCCCCAGTGGACGTCTGCTGCTGTTTCAGCATTCTCTTCAGTTTAGCGTTGAGCTTCTTCGCTTCTTTCAAGAGAGTGTCCGTCTCGTCCTCGTTGAGATGAGTCTCTTGCAGCTGTTTTGAAAGAACGTCCGGGTCGGTGAGGCTGAACTGGACGGCTTCCGGGTCACCAGCGTCATCGGATTTGTTGCTTTTGTCGATCGGTTTTTCGTTGAGGCTGTCGTCGTCGTCTTCGTCTTCGCTGTTGGTTTCGTCATCGCCGTGAGAGGTGACTTCGACTTCCGGGTGGTGTTTGTCGTCGCTGTTTCGCCTTGGCTGGTTCTCGTCTTCCATCGTTGCTGCTTTGTCAAGGAAAATATTCTGTCTCGAAAATAGAAAAGTAAATTTCAATCAATGACTGTAAAAATAAAAATAACATCACACTCAACTCATTAAAAAAAGCAAATGGATACATTCATTTAAATAACATCAATGGATACACGCTCGTTCGTCCGTGCGTCCTTACGTTTGTTTGTTTTATTTCGCTAAAGCCACAATCAAAGTATTAAAGAAAATATTCCCTCTACACATGTCTTTCATTTACATTTCACCTGCTTCTCTCAACCTTACCTGTTCTTGACGTCTTACGCAGCTATTCTGCTACTAAAAACAAGTTTCGCTAGTGAGTACAGGTGAGCGTCCATTCACGGTTTGAGATCCCTTGTTGGTGAGCACGTCTAGGTGATGAATGAAACAAACATGCACGGATCTCACACACGTGGCAATGATCAAACGTCTGGGCACCTTAAAAGATAAAAAGTTCAGGTTGGTTTTTTGTTCTCCGCGTTACTTTTCATACAATGTCGATTCACACGGTTCAAACAGATTCTTGTTAGACCTGGTTACTTGTCTTCCTATGTGAATCACTAATTGGGGACTAAAATTTCCGGATTTCCGGGGGGGGGGGGGGGGATTGTACACTAGTAAAAGTATATATTTTCGATATAAATTCTGTTTCGTTCGGGGGGGGGGCAAAGAGATGCCTGGAAGAAACTCTTTATGAGTAAATGGTGGATTCTTGGTGCTAAAGCTACAGTTGGGGGGAGGGCACCTGAAACACTTGGAGGGAAACACTTTAAATTTCCGGGGGGGGGGGGGGGGCTTAAACTAGTTATATTTTTTCTGTATAATTTTCTTAAATTTATTTATTTTTGCTTTCGAGTGCCCCCCCCCCGGAGAAAAAAGTCTGGAAGAAACACTGAGGGGGTTTACTCTTCCTCCACACCTTTCCCCCATGCCTGAAAGAAACTCTGAGGCAGTCGTCTAATTAAACCTGATCTATCATTACCCTGTTTATAAGGTTATTGTTGTTTTTTTTATCTTCTCCGGAATTTGAGGCTAATAAGGCAGGTAGAGTTCGACTATTTATGAAGGCCTATGAAAGAATAGCTTGGTCATGTCCGGCGTCTATACTTTCCCTGACTTAAGTCAGGTGCCCATCCCAACACGGTAGGCGTACTACGTACTCCAGTTCGGGATCCGAACACAAAACTGTGTGGTTAGCAGTCGTTCTCTCTACCACCCGACCATGCCATCCCCATGTTTTAATAGGTACTGCTTCAAATATATCCATGTCCATTGTATGTGTTGTTTGTATTGCCCTCTCACCGATTGGCCATTATCTGGCCACTTGAAACTTCATCACTGGCCAGGATTCAACTAACACTAAACATGGCATGCCCAGAATACCGGATAAAGGAACTCGGTATCTACTTAATATATCAACAAAATCTAGCAATGAAATCGAACAAGGGGATCGTCCATAAATGACGTCACACTCGTAGGGCGAAGGGGGTCCGTTATGTTGTGACGGTGTGTGATGAGGGGGAGGGGGGGGGGGTTCAGATGGTGTGACGTCACCTTTGCATTGTTTTAAAAAAATGTTAGAAAACGAGTTTTAGCAGTTATTTTGCGTTTTAGAAAACGGTTTTAGTAAATTGTAATAGGAATTGATCAAAATACTCAAAGTTGACAGAGTTCTGACAAGATTTTGGGAAAATATCGATGTTTTAAGAAAAATTCAACAGCAATGTTGAGGAGGGTTGTAGGCTGAGGTGTGACGTCATTTTAAGGGGGGGGGGTCTGGCTTTTTTTGACGACGTGTGACGGAGGGGAGGGGGGCAGGTAAAAATCGTCAAAAAAAGCGTGACGTCATTTATTGATTACCCCCAATCTATATTCGCGTACAAAAATTTTATAAAACCAATATATATACAAATAACAACAATAACAAAACTAACAAATGTGCTGTTTACTCGCAGTAAAATAAAAACCTGTAGGCTATACACCCTAAAGGCGTTCTCATGTAAGTCTTAAAGAATCAAGCGTCTAAGGAATATATCTACCAGTGAGCTTATTCCTCTCAAACAGTCACTGGTAATAATATTTATATTTAGTTCGTGTATTTCAAACATACACTAATCTCTACTCTCGACATAAACAGTTAAATGTATGTTATGTTTAAACTAAAAAACACACATAAAAGCAAGTGTTTACTTACTGGCGTGGCACAACCCGACGACAAATTGGTCAAAACACCACAACATTGGCCGCCATGTTGCCAAGGGGGAGGCCACTTTAAGGAAAATGGTAATTGGTTTCAACTCATTCAAAAAAAAGTCTTATCCCATTCGATAGAGATCTAAGCCGCAGGTGGATCGATGCCATTTTATTGATTTGTGTTTGGGGGGGGGGGGGAACCGACCACAAGCCGTGGCATGAAGCCAGACACAATAGCACACACATTACCCTCCCCCACCCCACACCGCAGCTGTAGAGTCGTGTAGTTGGGGGGGGGGGTTATACTGCAATGAACACAGTATTATATGCTATCGAAAAGGTGGGGGTAAATAAATCCTGAAAGCCAGAAGTTTACCGCGTATTCTCGTGTTTGGGATTTGTAGTTGATTGTTCATGTTGTGGACTAGACTGGGGGTATTTTTCAAGGCGTGTCGGATAATCTGCGAACCACTTGGTGTAATATTTCTATCCGAACCACTTGGTGTAATATTTGTATCCGAACCACTTGGTGTGATATTTCTATCTGAACCACTTGGTGTAATATTTCTATCCGAACCACTTGGTGTAATATTCCTATCCGAACCACTTGGTGTAATATTTCTATCCGAACCTCTTGGTTTAATATTTCTATCCGAACCGCTTGGTGTAATATTCCTATCCGAACCACTTAGTGTAATATTTCTATCCGAACCACTTGGTGTAATATTTCTATCCGAACCACTTGGTGTAATATTTCTATCTGAACCACTTGGTGTAATATCCTATCCGAACCACTTGGTGTAATATTTCTATCTGAACCACTTGGTGTAATATCCTATCCGAACCACTTGGTGTAATATTTCTATCTGAACCACTTGGTGTAATATCCTATCCGAACCACTTGGTGTAATATTTCTATCCGAACCACTTGGTGTAATATTTCTATCCGAACCACTTGGTGTAATATTTCTATCCGAACCACTTGGTGTAATATTTCTATCCGAACCACTTGGTGTAATATTTCTATCCGAACCACTTGGTGTAATATTTCTATCCGAACCACTTGGTGTAATATTTCTATCCGAACCACTTGGTGTAATATTTCTATCCGAACCACTTGGTGTAATATTTCTATCCGAACCACTTGGTGTAATATTTCTATCCGAACCACTTGGTGTAATATTTCTATCCGAACCACTTGGTGTAATATTTCTATCCGAACCACTTGGTGTAATATTTCTATCCGAACCACTTTGAGTAATATTTCTATCCGAACCACTTGGTATAATATTTCTATCCGAACCGCTTGGTGTAATATTTCTATCCGAACCACTTGGTATAATATTTCTATCCGAACCACTTGGTGTAATATTTCTATCCGAACCGCTTGGTGTAATATTTCTATCCGAACCGCTTGGTGTAATATTTCTATCCGAACCACTTGGTATAATATTTCTATCCGAACCACTTAGTGTAATATCTCTACCCCAAACCTTGACGTAAATATGGCGTGATTGATATTTCAATATTTGACATTTATTTTACATTATACTTGAATTTTTTTAATGAACCCCGTCATATAGTGTAAAGTGTGTCGGCGTGGTCGAAACTATGGTAGCTAAACCGAAAAGTCCCGAGTTCGAACCTCCGGACAGATGAGACTCGTTAGCTGGGGACAGCCACTCTTCTAGGAGAGACAACTCCAATAAACAAACAAATGCTGCCTTGTAGTTTGTTCTTGGTTGGACAAAGGCTATGGAAGCAAGTCCAGAAAAAAAGCAGGCTGAAATCGCAGTCAAGGACCTATAGCCTATGTCGCATAAAATGTAACGTAATACTTAATTGTTTTGGAGGAAAGCCCGCCCAATACTACAATTACGAACAAAGAAGAAGATATAATGTAATAAAATCTTTGCTGTCTGTTTATTTTTAGTTAAGATTAAGATAAACAACAAAACTAAAACAATATTTTTATGTAGGTGGTAGGAAAAGATACCAATATAACCTTTTATTAGCAAATTAAGTCTCTCTGTCTCTTATATATTTATGGAAATAAACAACAACGATGCACGGTCTCTTCGGTCTTACTCTAACCCTTACCTTAACCCTAATCAAAGAAACTACGAAATAAGTAAGCAAGTAATAAAATTGTAATCTGGATTAATATGATACTTGATGGAGGTCACGGGTCATGAGGCTGATCAATGTGTATAGCCCGTAGGCTAAAATACAATTTGTGCCCCCCCCCCCCCCCCATTGTTTAATCAACGAATATTTTTTTTTTTGGCTCGACTCCACAGACCAAACCAGGTTGTTGGAGAATAAACGTTCTGTCATGGCTGACAGTTTGGTGTGGTTTTTTAATGATCTGCAGCGGATTATGGCTTCAAAATTCAGCGGTTCTAATAAAAATTTAAATGTACCCCCTCCCCACAGAAAAACCCACCCAATAATGACTTACTTGACTTAGTCCTCTTTGCGCCTTATGGAACATAGGGCCTCCACCATTTCCTTGGAAGGACCCAATAATGCACGTTTATAAAATTGATTTAAAGTTGAGTTTCTTTAGACATTTGGAAAGATATAATAATTTAAGATATAATGAACCATCATTGAGAATTAGAGAGTAAAATCTCATTATGACCTGTTATTTTTGTATGTAGATGAAGTAGAGTTCTTCTAATTTTTTTAACCTCGGCGTGTGGAGAGACCATATGATCAGCAGTACTACATTCAGGTACTTATTAGAGCTGGGTTGGCTCAGGGACACTAAAGATTCATGACCTGCATCCGCTTCACGTCTTCCCATAACGTCAGTTAAG